CTCCAGGCAGCCACACCTGGCAAAGGAGGGAGAGGTTTCCTCTGATTTGAGGGAGATATGAAATGACAGGAGACCAGTTTTTTTGAGGGGGTGGGTGGGTTCTGCTTTTCTTGCTATATTTTTTGTTATAATTAAATAAATATTTTATATTTAAAATATATATTTATATATTAAAATTAATTTTTTAAATAGTACATTTATATTTAATATAAAAAATAAAAAAAATATTAAATAGATTATCTTTTTTTAAAAAAAAATCATATTAGCGGTCCTCTGGATTTAAAAGTATGAGTTTGGTGGTCCCTGAGGTCCAAAAGGTTGCCGACCCCTGCACTAGGACACTTACACCTCTCTCGTAAGCATGACTGTTTAACCAGGTACTGCCTATAAGTATTTGTGCATTTGTTTTTTTCTGCCTAAGTGCGGGACGTTACTGTCCGGTCCCTATCGGAATGCTGGCATTCTGAAAGGGAGGGGGAGGCATTGTGGACCTCATAGTTTACATGCTCTCACTTCTGCTGTAGCTGTAACTGCTTGGAAGCTTAAGGAAGGGAAAGATCTCACCATCTTCATCAACTCCTTCTTGACCCGTCAGGGCCGGGGATCCAAGGTCACAGAGCCCTGTGGGCGAGCTCTTACCATCCACCTTCAGAAATTTCCTAAACATCTTGCAACGTGTTATTCGTTGATAATGGACACAAGGCATCAGGGCTGGGGATGAAAGGGGGATAATAGCCTAGTGCAGGGGTGGGCAAACTTTTTGGCTCGGGGGCCTCATTGACTTTTAAAATTTGACAGACGGCCCGCCACCTGGTGTCAAAACGCCTGTCATTACAAGTCAAAATCAAATGAATGCAATCATTCAATCATTCACATCAAGCCTTAATTCTGTACCAATCTTCGGCGGGCCGGATTAAAAAGACCAACGGGCCGGATGTGGCCCCCGGGCCGTAGTTTGCCCACCCCTGGCCTAGTGCCTGGGTCCTCAAACTTTTTAAACAAGGGGCCAATTCAGACTGTTGGGGTGGGGGGCGAACCAGAAGAGCAAATGGAGGTGTGGAAGAGAAACCAGGACATGGAATGCTTGATGGGTACATAGATGAGACTGGCTTCTGGGGCATCTTCTGCAGGTTCCCCTTCAATCCTGGCAGTGCCCTGGGACACCTCCTTGAATTCCATTCCATTCCATCCTATTCCCATTCCCACTCCACCTTACTACTATTGCTATTCCATCCCATCCTATTCCTATTCCCATTCTATTCTCTATTTCCATCCCATTCTATTCTATTTGCATCGCGGTGGTCTCAACCCATTTTTGGAATCTCACTGGCTGCCCCAGAGCTTCCTCTGCACGTGCCAAATGCACGGAACAGGCTCCAGCAAAGGCTCCCCATGTCTGGCAGGCAGGATCAGACCAGGCAGGCATTGCTTGGAGCAGATCTGGTAAGGAAGCCCCAAGGCGGGGACTCAGTGGCACTGATCTGCTGGCCGGCCAGCCCTTCCTGCCTCCCTCTCCAGGGGCGGAGATGGCTGTCCTCTTTGGGGGGCTGGCAGCCTCACCAGCAACTGCCCCAGAAATGCTGAGTGGGAGAAGGACGGGCAGCCAAGTGACTGTGTGTGTGTGTGCCTCCCCAGCCTCCAGTAGCACTCTGCCAGCCCAAACTGACATGCACAGAGGCACCCCGCAGCCTCCGCTTGTCCCGTTTTTGGCTTTCTCGGCCTCCAGAAGCCTTCTGCCAGCCAAAAACAGCCCCATTTTTGTCCTTGCCTGCCTCCAGTAGCTCTCTGCCTTATCTTCCAGTTCCAGCTCGTGAAGGTATGTCCTGTGCTTGGCTGAAAGGGGAGTCATAAGGGAGGGGCAGCCTCATGGTCCCATGCAGGAATGGGATTGAGATGGGATGAAATTGAATGGGATTCAAAATGGATTGAGCCCAAGGAATTTAAAGTGGGGGATCATGTATATTTGTCTACACATTTCCTCTAATCCTTATAACCCTCTAAAAAGTAGGCTCTAACTTTATAGGCCCTTTCCCTAGTAAATATATTATAAATCCTGTTACAGTAGAGCTATAAGCTAAGTCCTTATGGAAGGTCCACACAGTTTTTCATTGCAGCCTATTGAAACCTCAATCTATCTTGCCTTTATGCCACAAATCCCTTCCTGTCACTGAACCTTTTATGATTGAAGGCAAACAACATTTTGAGATTAAGCAGATCCTTGATTCATGCATGCACAGAGGAAAAGTTCGGTACCTCGTTGCTGAAAACTAGCTGCGTTTCATCACTTATAGTATTTTTGGAAAAACAGGAAGTGATGAAACGGGGCTAGTTTTCAGCCTGCAAAGCCTGCAGAAGCCTTCCTCAAGCCTTTGGGAAGCCAAAAAAGGCCTCAACCCACCGAAAATCAGCTGTGAGACTGCACATGTGCAGTGAGGTAAGTCTGCCTGCAGCTCGCATGCCGGCACAAATGGCTCTGTGTGCCAATTTTGGTGGGCCGCAGAGAAATCTCACCCCCAGAGCAGCCCCACAAAGCAATTAATCCAGGCTGCGCAGAAACACAAGGCTGCTCAGCTCACGTGGCCCGCAGGAACCCTCCTCGCCCACTCACTCCTTACCCAGTAAACTTGTCTACTAAGTTGCTATTTTTCCTTTTTCTGACCATCATCTGTTCTGCTGTGCCAGGAGATTTAGATTAGCTAGGAAGCAGGAAATGGTTGGATTTCTTGCTTTCTAGCTAAGCACAGCCAAATCTCCCTTAGGACTGAAGGTTTGCTTGCAAGCAAATTCAGTGCAGACTCACAACAAGCAAATTTGAGAGACTGAGCTAGCCGATGGCAGATAGTTAGATCACTGAATGATTCTGTGAGCAACTCAATCTGCCTGCTTTACCTGATTTTGGATAAAAGTTGCTTTTTTATATAAAAAATTCAATATTTACATATGTGGTGTGTTGTGAGTTAATTTTATGAGTTTGCTTGCAAGCAAATTTTAGGTGACAGACTGAGCTAGCCCATGCCAGATAGATAAGATTTCTGAATGAATCTTTGATTCTGTTCGCAACTCAATCTGCCTGCCTGCCTTGCCTGATCTTGGGTAAAAGTTGCTCTTTTTTATAAAAAAAATTCAATATTTATATAAATATTTATAATATTTACATACAAGCCATGCCCAGCCAGTCACATGACCACCAAGCCACACCCACAAATCAGGCCACGCCCACAGAACCAGTTAGTGGCCCCTGGGATCTAAAATTATGAGTTTGGTGGTCCCTGACATCCAAAATGTTGGCGACCCCTGTTCTAGAGCAGGGGTATCAAATTGGATTTCTTCAAGGGCCAGATCAGCATTGTAATTCTGCAGGCCGGCGGGAGTGGTGGCGATAGGGTGGCTGGACAGATGCCTCCTGTAGCACCCTGCTGGCCAAAATGGGGTAGCGGGGGGGGGCATGGATTGAGCCTCATTTTCACTCTCCATTGTCTGCATTACCCTGCCAGCTGAAAATGGGCCACCTGAGCCATTTTTCAGCCCGTTTTGGGCCAGTTTTTCGGCCATTTTTCAGCCCGTTTTTGGCTGGCAGAGTGCTGCAAGGAGGGTGAAAAAAGGGTCCCCACACATGGCTCATTTTAGCTGCCAGAGGCACTGCAGGCTGGTCCCTTGATATGTCCAGATTAGCCCCACGGGCCGGATTTAAGCACCCCTGTCCTAGAGTGTGCTTGAAGCAGGCAAAATGAAATTCTGACTGGGTTTTGCTGATTAGATTAGTTTAAAAATTAGTTTACTACATATGTAAAAGTAAAAAAAAAATGAGGTTGCAACATTTTATTGCACCAAAAAACGTTGGAAATCAATGGTTTTTTTCATTTTTATCCCACACCTCTCTTCCCTCTTCTTTTCCTCCCTCATTTCCCTATTTTTATTTTCTTTTGTATTTATATTACAACAATATTCAGTAAAAACATATTACCCAAAATATAATAAAAGTCAACCAAAGCACTCTACAATGTATCATTTTTCCAAACTGTGACATGTGAAGAAGACTGTGGAAGAGTTTTTAAAAATGCCTGAAGAAAACCACACGTTTTAAAAAGAATAAAGTTACAAAAGTCTCATTTTTAAAAAATCAGGAAGAGATTCTCTACCCTAAACAGCTTCCAAGCTGAACAGGAACCATATATTTTGTAACACATACAAAGCAAAGTGTTGTCTGTAAACAAAACCAGAAAATATATTTACCAGCATTGGATCCTGTCAGATTATAGCGTGCATTTAGTTTTTTTATGATGCTTTCATGAATTTGAAACCAGTCACTCTCTGTGTTACACCTGTAAAAGAAGTAACACTGTTAAATATTGATCAGAAGTTAATGCTGTATCAACAGAAAAAATAAAAATGTGAATGATCTAGTCAGCACCAGATTTAAGGATGTCCTGAGCAAACTTTCCCTTTGAAGTAGCTATTCAAATAGTTACTTTTAGCAACAACTTTAATCCACTTACACATCGTTTTTCCAGATTTATCAGCTGAGATAGCAGCAAGTTCTATTGTCTGCTTACATAATATAAATATGTAATATGCATGCAATGCAAAACCTTGTCACAGTATTGTTTCATAACATTGTGTGCAATTCTAATTGGTATATGAATTACTGCTATTAGGCAAGTTTGCACATGATATCAACTATATCAACTGTTATTGCCAGAGGGATATGAATTTACAATAAGTGAATCTATCAGTAAGTCCGAGATATTTTAATTTGTATTTCTGCAAAGATCAGAAGTTGGAGTTAGAAATCTTCAAAATATTTTAGAGCAATTATTTTTTTCTCTTCTTCATTATTTTCTAGTATTCCTGATTCATTTTGAAGCTGGTATATTATTCTTTTTTCTTTTTCTTTTTTTAATTTACAGGCCAGCCATTCACACTTTCAAAAAAGTTTTGTTTACAAATTTAATATCCTTTGCATTGTCCTTCTGTTGTCGTAAGTTTAATTTATGTCTGGCCAGATTCAATTGTTCTTCAATTTGATCACTTCCCAGATTTTTTTGTATTTGTTTTTCTAGATCCCCAATTTCTAAATGTAATATATTATGTTGCCCCCATTTCTCCTTATTCCTTTTTGCCATGTAGGCTATTGTTACCCACTGGTGTGTGCCTTCATCGTATCCCACAGGATTTGCAATGATGTATGTTGTTTTTTTCAAAAAATAGTGCCAATTCGTTAGAGATTTCTTGAATACATTCTTCTTTTAATAGAATCCGAGAATTCAATGTCCATCGTCTTTTCTTTTCCTGTCCTCTCCAAATTACTTTAATGGGGTTATGGTCAGCCCAAGTTTTTGGGGGAATTTCAATTTTCTCTATTTCTTTTCCTAAATCAACATTCGTCCAGACCATGTCAATCCTTGAATAAGATTTACGTGGGTTTGAATAAAATGTAATTTTTTGTTCTGTGGGAATTAATGCTCTCCATACATCTATTCGATTTAATTCCTCCGTCATATCAAAAAAATGTTTTAGGTAAAAAAATTTTTTTCTTTACCTTCTTATTATCACAAATGTAATCTTTTGCAGTATCTACTATTCCATCCCACAATGCATATGTCTTTTTGGCCTATTTCAGTAATTTTTTCATGGAGTTTTTTATAGAATTCTTTTTGGTTTTTATTAGGTGCGAAAATATTTACTAGTAGCATCTGTCTTCGTCCCATCTTTAATTCAGTCTTTAATATTCTTCCTTTAGTGTCTGCGTAAATTTGCTATGCTTCTATCTCTTCCCTAATGTATATCTCCACCCCCTCTTTTTTTCCCCTGCCAATGCAGTATGGAGTTTCCACAATTTATTGAATTCTAAGTACTTTTTATCTTATTTCTTAATATGTACCTCTTGGAGGCACACAATATCTATGTTTTGCTTAACTAATTTTGAAAATATTTGTTCTCTCCTCACTACAGCATTTAACCCATTTACATTTATTGACAATAGTTTTAGTTCTTACTCTTACTGATCTATCTGTTTCTAGTTTCTATTGATTTTTTTTGTTTCTTTGTGTTCTGGTTCTAATGCCTTCTTCTTTCTGGGTTTCTTGTATCTCTTTTGCTTTATCTTCCTGGTCTTCTATTTTGGATTCTACCTGGCCTTCTTGACTTCTTTCCTCTAACTTCTCTCTACTACTATAATTTTCTTCCATTCCTGTCAATTGGTCGTATAAATCTTGGGCTTTGTCCAAGTTATCTATATTTATCTTTTTTTCCCTGCCATGTTTTCTGGGACAATCCACCAAAACAAAATATTCTGTTTGCTTAATTGTACTGCCAGGTAACGATAGTCTTTACGTTGTTCTCTAATTTGCCTTGATATTTGTTTCAAGGTAATGACTTCTTTCTCCTTGTTCACTATGGGTTCTTCCCTTGTTATTTTGTGTATGATTCCCTGAGGTTCTTTTGGGCGAATCTAACATGTACCTCTTTGGGTAGCTGGTGTCTTTTGGCATAGTTCGTCTGGACCTTGTAGACCTCATCTAGCTCATTTATAATCTCTTGTGTATCCCTTTGCAGGGTTTCTGCTATCAGTTCCACCATCAATCTTCCCAGGTCTTCATCTTTGGTTTTTGTTATATTCTGAAATCTTAAATAGAAGGAGGCACGATCCATTTCTAAATGGATCAAGGAATCTTCCAAATTCTTGTTTATTGCCATCATGCATTGGTCAACCTGCTCCATTTCTTTCTCTGTTTGTTCTGCTTTTGCTTCTACTGTTTTAATTTTCTGCTCATTTTTTTGGATCGCCTCACCTTGTTGTTCGGTTTTTGGACATCATCTCCTGTAGCTTCACCATCGTTTCTTGGATCATTATCAGCGTTGTTTGCATTGTTGGAGTGTTTTGTATGGTTGGTTTGATTTTTTTGTATTTAGCATCCTGTCCATTGATCTCTGGGTTGATGGAGATGCTGTCGCTACTGATGGGTTTGAGGATGTTTTCTTCCCTGCCCTCAATGCGGTCGTAGTTATGCTGGTCATTTCTTTCAAAAAAAAATTTCTGTTCTCCTAAGATTTTATAAATACTTTCCCAAATTATCATACAATCGCTTTGTGGTTAGTAATATGAATTCTTGCTGTTCTTCCTTGTTTCTTTTATATCCAATATATTAGGTTGTATTGAATTACCTTAATGTGTTGTCAGGTTAATTACTGCTATTCTGTTCCTGTTCCTATTTGCCCAGCTACTGGGCCTGCTGCACCTGCTGCTACTGGCCTCGTGGGGGCTCTTCATCCTGGCTGTGCTGCTCTCGGACGCCCTGCTGGGCTGCTCCTGTCTGGTACAGGGCAACTCAGCCCAAATGTACAACCTCCAGAACGCCTCATCTGTTTTCACCTTTGGACTGTACCCCTCCCCTCCCCCATGTGATCTCTGTGCCAACCCTGTAGTAGGATGGAGAAGGGAGGGGGAGAAAAAACCCCAACTTCCTGGCTGCCGAGCCCCCACCTGTACCCCTGTGCTGGAAAGGCAAGCAAGACACACAACTCAATGCTACCGGTTTGCCATGCAATGCAAGCCATGAAAAGCAACCTGCCCAACCATCTTGGCTCTGGGGACAATCCCGGATGGAGGGGCATGCGGGATCCCCGGGGTGGAGGCTTTCTGCTGCAACGCTCTGCCACAGCTCTGAAGCAAACCTTCATCTTCCCTGAATAGGATTGCAAGACTGGAGGTCTTCGCAGCCTCAGGAGGCTCCACTGGTGACTGCTGGCAAAGGGACCATAACAGGCCAGCAGGAGCAGCCCAACTGAGAGTAGTACAAGATGGAGCCATGCCATCTTGCCTGTCATCACCTTCAGGCTGTGCCCCTCCCCTGCCCTGGCAAGCTCTGTGGTGGCAATGCATCAGAATGGAAAACGGAGATTGCCCCTGCTTCTTTGTACCCCAAACCCCATCTTCTCTGGCCACTGAAGCATTCTACCCCTCCATTCTCCGATCCACTGCAGGGCTGCCATGGAGTTCCTGCCCACTGAAGCCATAGGGCCGCCAAAAGCAGTGCAGTCAGAAGGACGAAAAGCCCCTGCAAGGCCAGCTACAGCAGGTGCAGCAGGCAAAAGCAGATGTCCAGAAGCATCAGGGGGAGGAGCAGGTGGCCTTCTGCCTCATTGTACAGTACCAGCAGCCTGAGCAAGAAACAATTTCCAGGTCTGGCAGAGCACCAACCATGGTTGTCGCCTGCTGCAGAGCCACAAGGTGAACTGTGGAAGAGTGGGGCCCTTAACTGCGAGGTTGCCAGGTACCGCGAACAGAACTGGGCCTGACAAGAGTGCGCCAGAAATGCCTCCAGGTACCCGGACAGAATGAGAGGCAGCTCCTGGCCCTCTCTGGTTCAGCTGATCCACAAGACCATGATTAAGGGGCCAAACCTCCATGAGGTGACTGGGGAAGGAGCCATTGTGCTAAGCACTGCCTCAGGAATCACTGACCATATTTGTGAGGAGACAAACTTCCCTAGTGAAGGGTGTGAGCGTGGCTGCCTCCTGTGCTGGTCATGCCCACCCCTTCACTAGGGCTTATTTTTGGGGTGGGGTTTATTTTAGGCACACACTTAAAAATCAGGCTAGGCTTATTTTGGGGGTAGGTCTAATTTTCAGGAAAAATGGTGTGTGTGTGTGTGTGTAGTTTAAGATAAAAAACTAATTCATTTAATCTATAGAACTTGAAAGGAAAAATTATCTACAGATTATATTTCATTGATAAAATGTGATCCAAATATTGTAATATATTATAAATATATGTATTCTTACATATATACTTTTAAAATAAGGTCATCTTTTGTATCACCAGTCAGTAGATCTGCTACACTGAGGACCGCACAACCAAAAGGTCGCCGATATTGTACATTGCAAGCATTTTTCTTTTCACCTGCTCCCATTCGGCCTGTCAAACAAAATATATTGTGAAAGAAAAAAAAACAAGAGACACTAAATAAATACATATCTTCTACCACCACCAGTTAATTTAATAACTTTATTGGATGCTAACTGTGCCAACATTTAAGAACACCTTCAATCTGTATCTTTCTGAATTGGCCTAATAGTGTGAAAAGAAGAAAAAATGCCTACATTAAACTATGTGAGAAAGCATTCTAAATTTGACTTTTCTTAGGAGCATCCACAGTTCACTATAAGCCCTTTATTGACATCAAAGAGAAACCTACATTCAATTTCTTAAGCTCCAGCTGTATATATTCACTAAATATTTTATCAGAAAAAGAGGTGTGCTCATACTCTCAATCTCTGCCTTAAATCCACATGAGGTATATATTTAAATTATGGAGCAACAAAAGGCACATTCTTATTAACAAATCACATACTTCATCATTGTTGTCACATCTTTGTTTTAAAATAGCCTGCACTTTTGCCCCTAAAGTTGCATTGGAATGTTTGTAGTAAAATTAAAAAAAGAACAACAAACCTAGGATCTAGTCTTGGCTTTGCAAGACAGAAATCATAGGCAATTGAATAGATGCACCTCAAATAGGAAATGAACTCAACAGAATACTTACTATTCTATTTACACTTGATACTCCACACACACGCACATAGACAAACACACATAAACACACAAACACACACACACAAACATACACACATGTACATATATATTTTTCTTCCAGAGTAACTAGCTTAAGTGAGACTTTAATCATTTTTCTGCATACATGAACATTTCAAAGTTTTAAAAAGCAGTAGTAACAATAACCTTTCAATTCCGGTGACTCTGCCCTATAGTTTGATAGGATAGAAAACTGTTTATATCAGCCCTAAAAAGGATATGAGACTGACAAGTAATACATTTAATATAATGTATATGGCTCCTTAACAACAATTGCTGTACGATTAAAAGTTATCCTTCTTTAAGGATTAATTAGGAAAAATTAGTACATGCATACCAATACGTATAATGTGCACAGTAATGTAGATGTCCTTCCTAAGCTCACTGCTTCCCAAATCCTGTGAAGAATCAGAATAATCCAAAATTATCATATGATTTTTTACGGATTATTGATATAAACAATCGGAAAATTTTAAGTATGCTTCTTCCTAGCATACTGAATAGCAGTCAAGAAAAAAATAAAATATGGGGTATTCAAATATATTTCATTAACACAACATTTGTACATGTTCATGGTCCTGAGAAATGTTAGTAAAAAATGTTAATGATGTAACCATCTTCTTTTTGGAGGTCTCCAACTCTCCAAATCTGTACTAAGTCAAGATTTCAAGTCAGAGAATTTGGAATGACTATTTCTAGGCTTCTAGCAGAAATAAGTCTCACTGTGCAGTTATGGTTGCAGCTCTAAGCATCGAAAACTTGTTATCCAGTTGCAGTTTTACTATGGTGCTGCCAGGAGTGCCAGCCAACTTTCTTAAACTAGATGGAGTCCTAGTTGATCAGATGTGAATCATCACAATGTGAGTGATATTAAACCATAAATCTGTTTCTATCCATGAAAATAAATCCCATTCAGATTATTCTTAATACTTAATTTAGAAACTGTTTCTTGCAAGGTCCCACTGAAATGTTAAACTTCATGTTTCATATTGGAAAACAAAAGACTCCTTTAATTCCGAACTAAAATACATCTCAGAAGCAAACAGCTATCTTTTGTGCCTATCATATATTTAAATATAAAAATGCTCTACTTGTTAGATACTAGGCCAAATGGACAATTATATTATTATTATGTTGCTTTGTTCTTATAATCTTCTTAGATACTAGTCTGAAGCATCACTATTGCATGCACGGTGGTCATGTATTTGGATTACCAAATAAGTAATAAAAAACCTCATTAAAATACAGCAAATAAGAAACTCACCACAAAAAGAGAACAATATCTTTCTGGCTTCTCTGGACATTTTGGCAAACCATTCCGATTGAGTTTTAAAAAAAATCTCTCACTGTAAGATAAATATTATAATTGGAACAGGTAAATTTATTTGTCACAAAAATGTGCAAAAAAAAAAATCCTTATTCAAGATTTGGATAAATAATATTTTTATCACTGTTTCCAAAACAATCTTTTCTAAAATTCTAGAACAAGGTTGCAAAACCAGCCATTTTTTAAAAAATTTACCACAGTAACTTTGATACTTTGCCACTGATCTGGAATCAAAACAAGATGGCTCTTTAAAATAACTCATTGAATGAAGCAGCAACTCCTTAATTCTATTTTTCATAATTAAGGAGTTGTTGCTTCAGTCAATGAATTATTTTAAATTCATTTCACAACAAATATGTTACTGAACATATGAGGATCCATCAGGACTTCAACAAAGGCTCATTCACTGTTATATAGTAAAGTTACTGGTACTGCTTTTTTAGTCCAAATCATAGTTGTATAATAAAGAGGAGGAGAAGTGACAAACAATTGACAAAATCATCTTAGATGAAAATTATTTGCCATACTTGTTTGGATGTTCATTTTTTTTTAGTAAATAAGAAAAGTAAATTATGGTTATCTTGTAAAACATGAATGAATAAAAGTATAGTCAAATGATTGATTAATAATGATACTAAGGTATTTAGTTTTTGATTGACAGTATGAGATTATATGTAATGTAATTGTAATTGAAGACTACGAAATGGAAGCACAAAACAATTTGTAAACCAACCGGCACACTGTATGTACACCTATGGAAGACAGCTTTATGTTTTTATGTTTTGTTTGTTTTTAAAAACCAATAAAATTTAAAAAAAAAGAAAAGAAAAGTGAAAACTAAAAAGGATATTATTACTTGCTCTGTATTTTTAACCAAGAATTTCTATTCCCATTCTGGCTGATTTATCCTGATGCAGGATAAAAGTGTGCTGAAAATTTTCTTGCAAGATAAAAACCAAAAAGGAAAAAAATTAAAATAAGTACATTCTACTTTAGTATGAAGTTCGTTTTCTTATATTTTATGAAAAAGGGAACAAATTATAAGTCATTTATTTAGTCATCAACTTTTCAGTCAAGAAAATCAATTAGAAACTGAAAATGCAATTTTAAGCTGACATTAAAAGAAATGATCAAAAGAAACAATACTGACAGTTAAATCCATAATTTGAGGAGTAAAGGGGGCTTCCCTTTCTGTGCCTTCTAATCATTTCAAACTTTTGTCATAAATAAGAGATTGCTCTGTGCATTCTTTTTTAACTAAAGCTTTCTCAGCTTTTTCTTCAGCTCTTCTCAAGGGCAAGTAATATGTCACCCATATATTTTTTTTCCATATGCAACAGTAAAAATAGCAGCCGAAACATCTATTTAAGTCTTTTAAAAAGCAGAATAAAAGGGCTAATATTAACAGCTGCATCTTGTACATTTTCCCAACCTTTCATAAAGTTGAACAGTGAAGATTCCATTCTTATCACTTAAATTCAGATGAAATGCTTTAATTAATTCAAATTCAATATTAGAAATTCATAGGTCTGAAATATTCTATTTTCTACACAGGTTCTAATCTTTGGTGCCAAAATTCAGAGTCTCATGAGAAGTCATAGTTTGAAGGTAAGTAAATTTCATATTGACAAGGACAGATGAAAAATATTATCTGCTAAACTATTGTAAAAGAGTTAAAGTCTTCTAAAAACACAACAACCCAGAGCAGTTAGGTAGACTAGTCAGATCTTCATTGTGAAAAAATATGGGGAGTGGGGAATTCTAGATTTAATAGGATCCTGTCTCTACATCTGCTATGGAAACACATTAGGTCTACAGGTAAGAGAACCCACTAACTAATACCAAATAAGGCCATGGCCCTTCTATCAAGACTCCTTCTATCACTAAATATTAAGGGTTACCTAGCAGCCATGGAAACTATTATTATTTAATTTCTCATAATGCCTCAGAAACAACGCTACATCAAGTGAATTATAGGAAATGAAATATTATATAGACAGACAGTTGGTGTTGTTCATGGCAATGAGTTTAAAAAAAGGCACAACACAAAATCCCTATCACAGAGATCCTCAATTCAAGATCATCCATCCAAGTTCTTAATAATAAATACTATTACACCAAGCATGTCTAGAATTATTTCAGTACTGATGTTAATAATTATTGAACACTTTTGAGGAAACAGCAAATGTGAGCATTTATTTTCAAAACTTTGCACAGTACCATGAATGTAATTTACGCCGTATGCACAATTATTAGGCAAGTGATTATTTTGACCATATCATCATTTTATGCATATTTTCCACCTCCAAACTGTATAAACCTGAAGCTTAGTGGATATAACCATATCAGGTAATGTGTATTTATGTAATATGGAAGGATATGGCCTAAGGAGATCAACGCCCTATATCAAGGTGTGCATTATTAAGCAGCTTTTTTAACTCAGGCAAAATGGGCCAAAAAAAGATTTAAGTTTGAGTTTGAAAAGTCAAAATCATAAAAAGTCTTTAAGAGGGATGCAGCACTTGAAATTGCTAAGATATTGGGGCATGATCACAGAACCATCAAACATTTTGTTGCAAATAATCAACAGGGTCGCAAGAAATGCGTTGAGAAAATAAGACACACATTAACTGCCAAAGATTTGGGAAGAATAAAATGTGAAGCTACCAAGAACCCATTATCCTCCAGTACTGTCATATTCCAGAACTGCAACCTATCTGGAGTACCCAAAAGTACAAGATGTTCAGCATTCAGAGACATGGCTAAAATAAGGAAGGCTGAAACCCAATCACCACTGAACAAGAAAAAGTTGAAACGACAAGACTGGGCCAAGAAATATTGGAAAATAGATTTTTCAAAGGTTTACTGCCAATTTTTACAAGACACTTTCTTCAAGCAGTGGTACAGGAAAAAGTCTCCATCTTTTAAGAAGACCATGATTTTTATGCAGGACAATGTTCCATCACATGTATCAAAGTACTCCACTGCATGGCTGGCCTGTAAAGGCCTTAAAGATGAAAGAATAATGACATGGTCCCCTTCCTCACCTGACCTAAATCCTGTTGAGAACTTGTGGGCCCTTCTTAAATGGGAGATTTAAGGGTGAAAGAAAACAGTATACCACTCTGAACAGTGTCAGGGAGGCTGTGGTTGCTGCTGCACAAAAACTTGATTGTCAAGAAATCAAGAAACTGACAGAATCCACAAATGGAAGGCTTATGACTGTTATTGAAAAGAAGAGTGGCTATATTGATCACTGTTTTTTTTAACTGTTAGTAATGTTTTTTTATACATTTTGAGTATTATTCTCACTTTAACAGATGCAAATAAATGTGTGAGATGGTCATTTTTCATTTAATTGCATAATCATTCTGCACACTAATAGTTGCCCAGTAATTGCTCACATGTAGATATTCTCCTAAGAAAGCCAAAACCTCACATTTACTTTCTTAAATATTCAGGTTTGAAATTTATTCACATTTTGGATTGACTGAGAGCATCGTAGTTATTCAATAATAAAATTCATCCTCCAAAATGCAACTTGCCTAATAATTGGGCACACAGTGTAAAACTTGTTAGAATCTGTGACATAGTAATTACTCACAGTTAGGATTTAAGCGAACAATTCAGTCAAATTATCAAGTTTCTTCATTCATTAAACATTCACTAAATGACAATTTTTTAAAAAATCAATAGTGAAAATGGCTAAGTAAGACATAAATGGCTAAATAGCTATCAGCACAGAAAGAACTTTTAATGAAGCCACAATTATTATTATAAACGGGTATTAGCTTATGATTTATAATCAATCACCAATAATCCAGCTTTAAAAACTGGGTCTAAGTAGTACAATACCAATTATGAATGAAAAACACTTTACTCCTAATATTTTGCTGCCATAGGATGGGAGGTACAAAATTGATAATTTATAGGGTAATGGAATTCAAATTTTACAGAGCTTCAGCCTCCCTCAGTTACAGTTCTGATAGATGTATAGTACAAACTTTGGGAATGTCACATCATTAAAAATTTCATGGTTAGTTTACCTTTAGAAAAAAAAATTGCAACTATTTTCATATATTTATATTTATTTTCCTTCACTATACTTCTGGGAACACAGACACAAACACACATATCTGAATGTACACATGGGTACTATTATGCTAGTTGAGCATTTGAATCTTATAATGATGAACCAGGATAAAAATGCTTTTTATGCTGTTACTTTTCAATATTCACACCATAGTAACTTAATGAATAGAGAGCCCAATTAGAGAAGAGTATCAATTTGAGCAAGGTCATCTAATTAATTATTATTTGGCTTTTACATGAGATGTTTTTGATTAGATCTTCTTTGGTTGTTGTAAGGCATCCAGAATCAATATCCAAATTGGGTAGTCATATAAATTCTATAAATAAATGAATAGTAATATTGACAAAAAAACAAATAAACCCTCAAAATCTTGTGTCAACTGAGACCTGAAAGGAAGGAGAAATAGTCTGAAGTCCATTTTTATCTCTAAGGTGACTCAACCACTTGCAATCTCAGTAAGCGGGATGGGGATCACAACTCCTAGCTGGCAAGAGGAATTCTTAGCCAGTAGGTTAAGAAATTACAATATTTAAAAATTCTGAGTAAAGAAATTGCAAAAAGGAAATGAGTTGAAAGAATTTTTTTTTAAAAAAATAAATCTTTGAGACCCTTAAAACAGCAGTCAGAAATAAAAATACATATTTGAACTCAAACCAGAAATTAAAACATAGAAAGCTCTATAAAAAAGGTAATTTTTACAAATTTATAGAATACCTGGGGTAAGTATAGGACTTGGTGAAAAGTTTGTACTATTAAAATATAAGCACTATCAATGAATTTGTTAAACAATACAGATCCTTAAGAATGAAATCCATATTTGTTTGTCCTGCCTATCCCCAAATTATCCAAAACTGAACCCATGATACATATCCTTTAATTTAAAAAAAGATTTGTTTTGGAACTCAATTGTGTTGGTTCATATTACAGTGGATCATTGCTTCTTCCACAATGCTACAATTCTAAGAGATGGAGGGAAATCAAAGCAGACTTTTTTCTCTCTCTCTGATCAAAAGTAACTACTGCTAAACTGACTTCTCTCTAAAAAAAGGTACAGGTTTGCATTCGTAACCTATATGATGTTGAAGCTCTGAATAAAACTCATAAGAACAAAGTAAAATCATAATGTTGCTGCTTCTGTAATTCTCTACACTGAGTCACCTTTTCCACTTCATAAGGTTATACTAACTGAAAGAACAAATTGTTTCTTTTGCAGGAATGTCATTTCTTTAAGATGCTTAAACACATGACAACTGACATATGCTATGCCAGTTTGCTATGAATGTCTTGAACAGAGAAAGAGAAGAGAAAGACATCCCAGAAGAGATTAGTAAGAGGTCAGTAATGGATTTGAATACTGAAATGTTGCTTCTATCATTAAATCAACAATGTACTTCTAGTATGTACCTAATAGTGTACCCAATGCTCCTATCAATTCTGCAGCTATTTCAAATCACTCTTTGTAATGCATAAGGTTGCTTCTACATTGCTAGAATAACAGATCAGACTTCTCTTAAAGACTTGCTTTATTCAAAACATCACAAATAACATAAAAAGGTACACAATATTTTCTGATAAAGATGCCCTCTATTCAAATATTCCAACCCAAATGGATTGTTGTCTATCTACTGGCTGCTCTTTCACGCTCTATAAATCATGTCTGCTTATGCTACAGTTTCTGACAATTATTGAAAGAGCTGCTAGAAATAGCTTACCTGCCAGTTAGTAAATAAAACAGAAGTTTCACACTATTCCTACCCACACCCTCAATTTATATTGCATTGATACATGCTTCCCCTAAGTGAAATATGAACAACGTACAGTATATAAAAGCATAACCATCCCTAAAGGATTTAACAGATTAATAGAGATGGAAGGGACCTTGTACTGTAGGTCATCTAGTCCAACCCCCACCCAAGCAGGAGACCCTACACCATCTCTGACAAATGGCAGTCCAATCTCTTCTTAAAAACCTCCAGTGATGAAGCTCCCACAACTTCCGAAGCCAAGCTATTCCATTGGTTGATTGTTCTCACTGTCAGAAAATTTCTCCTTATTTCTAGGTTGAATCTCTCCTTGATCAGCTTCCATCCATTCTTCCTCGTCTGGCCTCGGAAAATAGCTTCAACCCTTCCTCTCTATGGCAGCCCCTCAAAGATTGGAACACTGCTATTGTGTCTCCCCTAGTCCTCTAGTCATGCCCAGTTCTTATAACCATTCTTATATGTTTTAGTCTCCAGTCCCCTATCTTGCTTGCTCTTCTCTGCACTAGGTTAGGGTGCATATCAATGGGACCCTGATTTTAGTAAAAGTTCTGCTTGAAGTCACAAGGTTATTTTTTATGTATGCGTTGCAAGTTTGAAGCTTCAACTTCCAAGCATTGCTTTGCACATATGCAACTGGTACGCTATTGCCTAATTCTAGAAAGTTCCCTGACCAGTCTACAGCTTTTCTGAAATCAGCCAAGATCAGTTAAATGGTGCCTAGCTGCAGCCTTATAAACATGAAACCATGACAGCTATCCAAAATGGTATTTCTTTCTTACAAACAGTACATCTTAATCAATATTCTGGTGTAGTAATATTTTCCCCTCTTTAACATAAAAGTAATAGGAGAAGGGAGGGGGAGAGAGAGAGAATACGACCTCATGGAAATTTGTACTTCTAATACTTTTAAGTATATCTGGTAACTGTTAAAACTAATCACTTAAACAAAGCATAGGCATAAAGAGGATTTTTGAATAAAATAAAATAGAATGAAGAAACAATGATTAAAGAAGCTAGTCTCAAAAGTCAGAGAGATAGTGCTTTCCATTTTTAGTTAAATAAAAAATATCATTGTTCTATATACCAATGGCAAAACTTAAAAGGCAACTAGTCAGCTTGCAAGAATTATAATTATAATCCAGGTCACAGGTGGGATTCAAAGTTTTTTTGATGATCATGTGACCGGGTGGGCATGGCCAACTCGACATCACTCATGCTGAGGGATGCTCTCGTGACCATGGGAATGCTGCAACAGTTGTAAGTGTGAAAAACAGTCATAAGTCACTTTTTTCAGCACCATTGTAACTTTGAATGGTCACTAAATGAACTGTTGTAAGTCAAGGATTACCTGTACCACAATACAAAAAGTTTCTTTCCTTGAAAAAAGCTATCCTAAATATCAATCATTACATTAAAAATACTCAAAAGCTGGGATTACAATTCAGGCAGCGTGCCAGAGCACCTTGAGGAATTAAGAGTTAAATGCAATAACTATCAGCAGCCAATTCTTGCTCATAAAGTGAAGCCCTTTAGCAGAAAGGTCATTTAAGTTCCCCAGAAAGAGCACGCCCAGGAAAAGCAATCCTTAGATCCATTTGCACCACTTAAAGATACCAGCTGATCTCTCTCACCACACAAGATATCCTAAGGAAATCATCCAGATTTAAGGAAAGACCACATACCCCACAGAAAGGCAGTAAAAAAATCAGTGCCAAGATTGCATCCAGCCTCTTGAAAGTACACCCCAATAAGACAGTGCCAGGAACCACTAAAGTAGTGAAGGAAGACCTCCTCCCCAGATAGAAAAAGAAACCATGAGGTCTGTAGGGGCCGTGCACAAGCGCACCAACGTGCCTACCATCCCTGTCCTATTGTTTCTTTTATTTTTCTTATATGTATCCATGTATTCATAACTATGTTTTTACTTATATTATATTATTATATGTATCCATATGTATCCATTATATTATATGTATCCATGTATTCATAACTATGTTTTTACTTATATTATATTATTATATTATATTACTATATTACTATATTATATTATTATACTATATTATCTTGTAAGAAATTGACAAACCAAATAAAATAAATAAATAAATAAAATAAAATGCCAACTTTATACACA